TCTGACGATGGTGTATAACACACTGATATATTGGGTTTCTGGACTTTATCCATCGTCCTAGTTTTTAAGATAACAAATAAAAACATGACGTTTCGGAAACTGGATCTGTTTCCGTCCTCAGGTGAAGGAAAAGGGAAACACCTAGCCTCAATCACTGGATGATTGATTGAGGCTAGCTCTTTCTAACGGACCCAACAGAATAGGTGTTTCCCTTTTCCTTCACCTGAGACGGAAACAGATCCAGTTTCCGAAACGTCGTGTTTTTATTTATCTTAAAAACCAGGATGATGGATAAAGTCCAGAAACCCAATATATCAATCTGTTTCCTATGTTTATGTCATGATTTTGCCCTGCATTTTGGTGATGAGACAGTAACATATACTTAGTTTTCTCTGTGTTTACTTCTAGACCAACCTCTTTACTTGCATCAATTAAAGTTTGTGTGTTTTTCTTTATGGTATCTACATTATCACCCAGTAGATTCACATCATCGGCATAGACCAACAACTGATGTGTCCCATTTAGTTTCAGTCCCACCTGGTTTCCCTGGAACTTCCTAATTGCATATTCTAAGGCAAAGTTGAAAGGGAGTGGCGATAAAGCATCTCCTTGTTTTAGACCATTCTGGATAGGAAATTTATCAGACAAATGTTTACCTACACGGACTTTACTATACGTTTCGTTTAAACACATTTTAATCAACCTAACTAGTTTCATGGGTATCCCAAACTCTATCAGAATATTGTACAATACTTCCCTCCTAACTGAATCATAGGCTTTCTTGAAGTCTATGAATAGCTGATGTACTGTCTCATCGTACTCCCATTTTTTCTCCAATATCTGACGAATGCAAAAGATCTGATCTGTAGTTGATCTGTTATGTCGAAACCCACACTGATGATCCCCAATAATTTCATCTATATATGGACTTAACCTTGAAAGAAGAATATTGGACAAAATTTTATATGAAGTTGATAGCAGTGATATCCCCCGATAATTACTACAGTCAGTTTTATCACCCTTCTTGTGAACTGGTACAATAATAGACTCCTTCCACTGATCAGGTAATTTTTCCTTATGCCAAATAAAAGTAATTAGATTGTGGAGCTTAGAACGTAATATTTTGCCTCCGGCTTCAATAAGTTCTGCCGGAATTTGATCACTACCTGGTGATTTATACCCTTTCAATTTTGCAATAGCACTTTCAATCTCAAAAGGGCTAGGATCAGGTATTAACGGCTCAGCTGTATTGATTTCTGTCTGCCTAACATCACTGACCCTATGTACATTCAATAACTGAGAGAAGTAGTTCCTTCACCTATTCAAAATGTTGTGGGAATCTGCAAGCAGATCACCATTCTCATCCTTCACTAAGTTACTGCTAGGCTGGTAACCCCTTTTAAAGTCATTTATTCCTCTATAGAGGTCTCTAATGTTCTTGTTCTTACTATTTATTGCAAGTTCATCAATTTTGTCTTTCAGATATTCCCTCTTTTTGTTCCTGAAATGCCTGCTGGTTTCACGTCTTATATTGTTTAGATTATCCCCATTTAACTCACTTGGATCCTGTAACCACTGCAATCTGCCTATGATAGGATGTTGGAAATTTCGATAATAGGGACGATTGAACGAAGATGCAGGTAATCCTCAAGAAGTGGGATTTGTGGTGGACAAAGTAGCATTGGGGCGGGTTTTCTCCGAGTACTTCGGTTTCCCCTGCCAATCTTCATTCCATCAAATTCTCCATCATCATAATCACCCGGGGCAGGTACAATAGCCCAATCAGTGGCCGCCGTGCCGAGTGGACCCAGTTGGACTCCACGCCCCACTAAGCGAATTTAAGTCAACGGGCATAGGATATATCGTAAATTGAAAATCAGATGAAATTCTCCATCGTTATTGAGAAATGAAACTGTATGACATGATGTGCTAGTAAGTACTACGCTAATTATGCTAATTATCAACTGACAGAAATATTCAAAGACGCAGGCGTAAGAGTGAAAGTTCATCAAGGTGGTCAAGGTTCGTTTTCAAATTTACTTCCGCTTCGTTTTCGCATTGCAGTACGGTGAGCGGAGAGGTCACAGGCGTCACTCCGCTGGGCACAGTTTGTGTCGTCAGCACGTAGACGGTAGAAATCTGTGGCGAACTGTGGTCCAAGCCGTCCAAGTTGTGCAGCTGTTTGCGTAGTTCGCTAATAGGTCTGTGCGTGTGATATAGGGTATGTAGTATGGTCCTGAACGTCTTTAGCTGTCAGGTTGAGTGTTTTATCTGGTGTTAATAGTATGAGCTTAGATTATGTTGAAGTCAGGACTTCGATAAGTGAACTCAGTTCTACATATTTGGTAAGAAGCTGTTAAAACATAATTACGTCTCTCGTGAAGAGAGAGAGAGAGAGAGTAATTTGCGATTTAAGTCGACTCCTTACTTGGGTAAGTAATGTTACATTTTTGATGTTTTTTTAATACTGCTCCCAAGGTTTGTCAATTTGTGCCGTTTCAGAGGAGTGTTTACTTCAGTTGATTTATATGTAAAAGGAAGAAACGATGACAATGACTGAAATATGTTGTTCTTTGAAATATTAGCAACAGTGACCTCAATTTCAGATTTTGCTGACATAAGAGCTTCTTTGTATCGCATACGCTGGTGGCGAGATGTCTATTTTTGTGTGTGATAAAGGATTCATTGAGGATTAAATGTTTGAAAGGGACGCGAATACTTCCTGGGAATGAAAGGTTATCTATATTCAGACTTTTATATATATATGTACAAGGTTATGTGAAGGAACCAAGCAGGACAAAAGTAATAGTTTGGCAAAATGCCCTGTGTGGTGTCTGTTAATGTAAGGGAGTCTTATGTTTGATTGATCAGCTATGATAACAAGATCTGGAAAATTACCTATATCAGAATTAAGTTAACAAAGGAAATGCTCTTGTTATGTCATTGTAGTACTTAGTATATAAATCAGTAGAACCAAGGTCATATTACAAGAAGTATCCCAGAGCTGGAGCTCAACAAAGAGTAACATAATGAGCCATCATTTGTTGATGTTATAGTCATATAATTTACGATGACCAGTTGTGAGAATATTAGAAATTCTAAACTGTTCTTAACACAGCAGTTGGTAACAATGAAAATGTCATCTAAATTGAATTTGGTCTCCAGAATATTTCACTCACTTTTTGACTGTAATTATATTAATTTAGGTTTGTTGCTCATGTGTTAGTTGAGTGAGAAATTTGTATAACAGTATTCAGTGTTTTTTATGAGTGCGTACAGTATCATATTACTGTTGTTGGTGTTATAAACAATTAATACGAATGTATGTATGGATAGGTTCCACAGGACTAAGCTTACCTATTGGTGTTGTATTTGTTCAGTAATCGTGTACAGAGTGCATAATGGCCAGTACTCTAACCCCAGTCTGCTTTTTAGGTTTAGTGGAAAAGGCCTGGCAAGTATAATGTATACACATTTATATAGAATGATCTGAAAGTGAAATGTGTTGGTATGCACGTTCTTACATGAACTGATTATACATTTTTCAAATTTATAGTAATATGAAGTGGAGGCCGTGCCATAGCTCAAGCGGTTAGTCGCTGGCTTCCCACCGCGGCGGCCCGGGTTCGATCCCGGGGTCTGGTCAAGTGGGATTTGTGGTGGACAAAGTGGCGCTGGGGCAGGTTTTTTCCGAGTACTTCGGTTTCCCCTGCCAATCTTCATTCCACCAACTGCTCCATAATCACCCTCACCTATCATCTGGGGCTGGTACAATAGGCCAGAAGTGGCTGCAGTACAAGGGACTTAGTCTGACCCCACTAGCATTAAAAAAAGAATATGAAGTGGACACAGATGTAGGTATTCATGATGCAGAAATTTATTTGTACAAAGTAATTCCGTCATAATACCTGGTACTTGGTCATTTTACAAGTGTGGAACTCTGTTGTTAAACTGACGTTATTGGTCAAATAATCTAAAATATATATTTGTTGTAAAGAAATAGCAATTTTTGGTTCTGTAAATATGCGAACTCAAACATTTAGGTCTAAGTTAGCCAATCGTTACTATGTTTAACATTAAAGTAGTGCAGCTTCTAGAATCGTGTCTTGTATGCATATACATTCCATTCTGTCTTCATGGGACCAAATCAAGGATGTACGTCACTGTCATATATGCATAATACAAGTATAAATACAGGTGTCAATGGATGTTATGTGATAATAATTTTCCCCATGTACAGTCTAGTAACTCCAAAGCTTTTATTACCCCAATATATTAGGTTTGTACACCAGAGCATTGCACACCCGTTTGCATGTCAATGTTATTACTATTTCTATTGAAATTATTTAATTCTTTAAATTACAGATGATTCTAAATTATCCAGATTTATAATCTATTCATTTTCTGTAATTTTTAAATTTTGGGGATTTTCAAATATTCAAATACATTATTTGTAGGTAGTTTTACAGTATTTGAAGAATTAGAAAAAATTTCAATTGTCAACTTCATACAAAATATACTTTCCTAGAAGTTAAATCCATATTCATTCATTCATCAGTAATCTGTCAGATGACAGGTCCACAGCCTCTTCCAAAACAGTTTCTCCACTTAATGCGATCTTCTGTTTTTGGAAAGAGACTATCCAGGAAAAGTGATAATGTGGTAGTTTTTCCATTTGCTTTCCACATCGCAGTACAACAGCCGTTCAAACCACTCTGGTCACGCCTGTTGCTATACGAACTTGAACCATCTCGAGCATCATTTTCTCTGTGCTTCAAGTCGCCGCTGATGACGCTGCTTCCGGCATCAGTTTTCGGTGTCTCTCTTCGTCTGATGCCTACCCTTTGACCTGTCCAGCAAGGGAGGCCCTGCCAGTAGCTACGCTACCGCTGGTATAGCTCTCAGGGTCCTTGGCATACTCAAACACCCTCACCACGATAAGGTGGAGACACCAACGAGGGGAAATCCATATATAGATGAAATTATTGAGGATCATCGTTGTGGGTTTTGACTTCACAGTCCAACTACTGAGCAGATTACAGTATGCCATAAGACATGTTCATGGATTTGAAGAAAGCCTATGATTGAATTAGGAGGGAGTATTGTACAATATTATCAGATTTGGGATATCCAAAAAAACTATGTAGGCTTACTAATATTTGTTGAGATGAAACTTGTAGTAAAAGTTTGTATTTGTCTTCTATATTACCTATTCAAAATGATCTAAAACAAGGAGATGCTTTATTGCCATTGCTTTTCAATTTTGCTTTAGAATATGCCATTAGGAAGGTCCAGGAAAACCAGGTGTGACTGAAACTGAATGGGACAAGTCAGCTACTGGTCTATCCTGATGATGTGAATCTACTGGGTGATAATATAGATACTGTAAAGAAAAACACAGAAACTTAAATTGATGCTAGCGAGGATGTTGGTCTAGAGGTAAATACAGAGAAAACTTAAGTATATGTTGCCGTCTCGTAAGCAGAATGCAGGGGAAAATCATGACATAAAGACAGGTAACAGATGTTTTGAAAATGTGGCAAAGTTCAGATATCTGGGAATGTCAGTAAAAAAAAGAAATATGAGAATTTGGTCATGAAGAAATTAAGTGGAGATCAAATTTGGGTAATGTTTGCTTCCATTCAGTTCAGGACAATTTCTCTTCTCATCTGCAGTCAAAAAATGTCAGAATTAAAAAATTAGAACTGTAATTTTGTTAAACTTTGTTTCAAATATTAAGGGTAGAACATGGACTGAGGATGTTTGAGAACAGGGTGTTGAGGAGAATATTTCAACTGATGGTGATATAATGGAAGGTTGAAGGGAATTGTATAATGAGGAACTTCATAACTTGTAGCTTTTGACAGATATAATTAGGATGATTAAGTGAAGGAGGATGAGATGGGCAGGGTATGTAGCATGCATGGGGTTAAAAAAAAACAGGGAATGCATGTAGGGTTTTGGTAGGAAAGCTAGAAGGACAGACAATATGAAGACCTAGACATAGGTGGGAGGATGATACAGGGTGTTTCACGACTTTAGGGCATAACTGCAGGAGGTGATTTCCTAGGTCTTTGTGATCAAAAAAGCTCATATAAACATGTGTCCAATTTTGGATGGTTATGGATTTATGACCGTTTTTTCATTCCTGTACATGCTCTCGTGTGAACCGCGTCTGTCATCTGGCAGTTCGCTATTTTTAGCCAGCTACAGACAGAGCATTCTCATTATCTCAACAATTGAGAGGTACCTAAGGCGTGGTGGGTTGGTATGTCACAATCGAGCGGCAGCCTGTGTTGCGGCTGGCGGTGACATTTTCGAAAATCAGTTTTAAGCACCAGTAAATTCAAATTAAAGGTAATATCACGAAGTTAACATTACATTCCTACTTTAAATGTATCATGTATTATGCTGGTTTATTATTTTGCTCCGTTTATTGTCAGTAATCATTACCTTATATTCTTAGTTTAAAACGGTCATAATTCTGTAACCGTCCAAAATCGGACACATGTTTATATGAACTTTTTTGATCACAAAGACCTAGGAAATCACCTCCTGCAGTTATGCCCTAAAGTCGTGAAGCACCATGTATTAGAGTGGATGTTAGAGGAACATGATGGGGTGGCATGGACTGGATTAATCTGGCTAAGGATAGGGATGAGTGGCAGGCTATTGTGAACTTGGTAGTGAACCATTGGGTTCTATAAAATGTTGGAAAACTCTTGAGTAGCCCAAGAAACTGGTGGCTTATCAAGAAGGACTCAGTTCTATAGAGTTAGTTAGTTATTTAGTTAGTTTACATTTCCAACAATTTTTGTATGACTAATATTTTTGAAGATTTTAAAATATATGAAATTTGAAAAACAATTTGGCTTTTGATAATTTTCAGCTTATGTATGTCATGTTTTGTTAGGTTGGAGTTGTTTGATAAATCAGACATGGGCTCGTCTACATGTGCATTTTGGCTGAGCTTGGGCACATTGTTAGGTTATTTTGGTGCATGAAACTAGTAAGCATCAAGTTGTGTATCCAGTTGGGCATTTGAGCAGAACTTGGTTTAGGTTTTTGTGTTGTGTTTCTCATTAGGAGTAGGCTGTTACAGATGCTGATGCTTCAGAAATAAAAGATCACTGTTTCCATCTATATTGTCTGATAAAGTGTATTGATAGATTCTCTTATGTTCTTACAGTATACAGCATAATAGAATACTATTTTCTTTATTCTGTTGTTATATCATGTATTGTCCATCCTAGTGTAATTCACTCTTTGTCTTGTATGTAAATATCATTTTGGTAGTTCTTGTTTCATTTTTTTTTCCTGTGTACAGTATTTACTCTGGTATAAAATTTGTCATTGAAGTTATAGAAATATTAATTTTTATTTAACTGTGTTTCTGGACTTCTCATGACTTAGTAGTTATGTTGTCAAGTTACATATTTTAGTGTTTAGTTTCCCCTTTTGTATAAGAGCACGCATCGAACATGCTTGAATGTGGTGAAATGTTTTGTGTTTGGTGTTGGCATAGGTGAGCAAACCAGGCATCTGGCCCCTTCATCCAGGATTTAAAAGAAAATAATGCAAACCAGAGAAAGAAATGTACCAGTTATTAATACCATGTGATATTGAATACAGTTAGGTCATGTCTAATAGTAGTTTCAAGTAGTTTTGTTAGCAGATGTTTGGCTGTCATGCCTTGGAAAAGATCTTGTTTGCTCTATGACTTTATTCTTTTATCATTGTTTTGATTCTTGGTTGGAAATTCCTGTTGGTATTTACGTTTTTATTGAAATTGTCTTCCCATATTTACCAATCAGTGTTTTTTTTTCTGTTTAGGAAGGAATGTATTTAATTCATCCTCTGAATTTGCCATTATTATTTGTTCATCTGAAAAGAGGATTGTATTCAATTCAGTTCAATTTTATTTTGTCCATGGAACATTATACATGATATGGGACAAGTCAAAGATTAATATTAATACTAATACTAAATAATAATAAGTATATAATAATACAGAAATAATATGACAATATAATAATAAATAATAATAATAATATAGTAATACAGAGATAATAATATGACAATGTAATAATAAATTACTATAATAATTTAGCAGTCTTGAAAACAGTTTCTGTGGTCTTGAATCCTCCTTAAGATGGCACCAGGCAGATAATTCCCAGAAGCAGTCACGAAGTGTTATTTCCTGGAGAGATAAATGAACTGAGCAGTAAGCGTTCTCATGACTTATATTATTCAACACTATGAGGCTAATTGATTCTTGGAATATATAATTTAGACTGACTAGAACTCTTTTCTAAAAAATAAAATACTCGTCTACACTGTAAAAATAATAAATGAACTGAGCGGTAAGCGTTCTCATGACTTGTATTATTCAATATTATGAGGCTAATTGATTCTTGGAATTTTGGGATATATAATTTAGACTAACTAGAACTCTTTTCTAAAAAAGTAAGACACTTGTCTACACTGTAAAAGCAATGATCAAACAGGAAGTTTTTCAAAGTTTTATCTATTGAAATGTGTGTTTCTTGATATTTGTATTTGTTTCCTTCATGTGTTGATAAGGTAATAGTGTAAAGGAATGCTGTTGTGCTAAAGGAGTATACTAACTGAATTCTTGTATGAAGTGCTGTTGGTTGGACAGAAACCTTCTCTAGGCGATTACCTTTAAAAATAAGAAAAAATTTGGCTAGGAGCCCAACTTGTAGGTTGGAAACCAAGCCAGAATGTCGCCATCACAGGACATCAGCTGCAGTAGTAGTTATATATTCTATTTAGAAACGACTCTCATGCAGCCTTCTGTAAATTCTCAGGAAGCAGCTTTCACCTTACTTTTATCAAAGTAGTTGAATGTCAAGTGTATACTTTTCTTCCTACACAATGTAAGTAAAAATATAGGCAACGAATAATAATTTTATATTTCATGATATGCTTTCTGAAATGTAGAACACATTGTAGGTTAATATGTTAATGAAGGGAAGTCTATTGTGTAGCTGTATGTGTTTAGTCTGTCAGCGTGGAAATGTACATTCAGTAGCTTCTAACACTCATTTAGTCAGTTAAATATCATTTGGAAACACTTGTATACTGTGAAGTAATGAATATATTTGAGTGTATCTAGTGCTGGATTATGTTGCAGTGCTGTGGGTATTTATGAACAGGCTTTGACATACACAATTGAGAACTTGCCTGAAGTGAGTTGGTTTTGCAAGCATCATGGTACTTTGTCATTCATATCAAAATAATGAACTACATTATAATTTTTTTGTCGTTTTTTTAACTTGTAAATGTTCTGGGATATAACGCCATGTAGTCCACTGAAAGTAAACTGATGTTTTGGAGGGACATATCATCACCATCTTCTGACCCTGAAGATGGAGGCAATATGTTCCTCCAAAACGTCGGTTGACTTTTAGTGGACTACACGGCATTATATCAAAGTAGATAGTAACTGTACATAACCTTCATTGTGAGAATCTTAGATCCTACATGGTGGTGAAAGTTGTGGCAACCCTTTCTGACTTTTGTGTAACATCAGCTGTAGAGTGGAAGACGAAAATGATTGAAACTAGCAGAATATGAATGCTTTGAAGTACTGGCATTATTTTTATTGACTGCTCGTGGCACGAGGCATAACCTCATAAACATCTCAATCAGCAGTTAAGTTAAAAAAAATAATCTTTGAAAATTACTTTGTAATATTTCAGGTCCTAAAATTCATTACCACAAGTTAATAAACATGTTTTAAAATATAATTTGGCAACGAAAGGGTTATGCTGTTTTGTACAAATGCAAACAAGACAATTTGGCAAATAGAACTTGACAGAATTTGTGAATCCCTGCTTATCAGTGTACTGTATTTAATAGGTACAGAGTTGACTGCTTCATTCAGTTGTCTGAGGTAAAAGTGAGATAGCCTTTACATGTGCATATTTGGTGTATGGTTCCTTAATAGTTAACAGTAATTTGATTGCACATTGAACTTTTGTTAGAATATTCAGCGCTGTGACTGGCAGAAAAAGTTGCGTAGTGCTGCTGAACTTGCCTGAAACCACGTTGTTTAATTTTGTTTAGGCCTTCTCTTTCCTTAATGTCTGAGTGACATAATGAAGAGTACTCTCTTTGGGATGTGATATTGTGTAGTCCAGTAGTAGTCCACTGACATCCAGAGGAACATACTCCCTTTGTCTTGAGGGTCAAAAAGTAAGCCAACCAATAATCGAACCATTCTCTGTGTACTGCCTGCCCTTTGCTGGTTTTGTTGTGTTGATTACTCTTTGATCCTGAAAATGGAGCAGCGTGTTGCCCCAAAACATTACTGCCCTTCTGCTGGACTGTATTGTGATATCCTTTATAGTTATTGCTGTGAGAACCCCAAATCCAAGTTTTATATACACAGTGTGTCCAGGATCCGTTAGGACTAATTTTTTTAAAATTTGCCCTACAATGCCATCTGTTGGCGTGTTGTGGTGTTAAGATTCTTGAAGTTCCAGCTGTGGCTGTCCGTAATTTCAAAGCACAAGCATCGCTGTATCATGTGTTCTGACCTTGAATGTAACTACTATTCTGATGCTCGTCGGAAAATGGCAGTTGAACAGAGAGCCAGCATCAAATTTTGTTTGAAGTTAGGCAAAACAGCCAGAGAAGCATACAAAATGATGAATAGTGTGTATGGTAGTGATTGTTTGAGTCACTCGAAGATTTTTTGATGGTATGCTGTATTTTTGTGACGGCAGGGAGGATGGTGTGCATCAAAGCCAAGAACAAGTTGCACTGAAGAAAATGTGAAAAAAGTGACTGAATTCCTTGCATCAGATAGATGTGTTCCTGCAAGACTCATTGAGGACCTTTTGGGAATACCAAAATGTACTGTGGATCAAATTTTGACTGATGATTTTGGCAAACGGAAGGTCTGTGCGTGGTTTGTACCGCACATGCTGTCAGGCGATGAAAAACATGCCAGAGTGGAACACTGCAAGGACATGTTATGGTCTGCAAAGTCATGTTATGGTCGGCCCAAAGTCATACAAAATTTACAAAATTTATTGTTACTGATGATGAGACATGGTGTTTTCAATATGAGCCTCTCACAAAGCGACAGAGTGTAGCGTGGTTGAGCCCAAAGAAGCCGAAAGCAAAGAAAATGTGCATGCAAAAGAGTCTAGTAAAGATACTGCTAACCGTTTTCTTCTATTTCAAAGGAATCATTCACAAGGAATTTCTGTCAGGAGGTCGAACAGTGAATTCTGATTATTATCTCAGAGAATTCTTCGAATTCAACCTAAATATTGAGAGCAAGGTTCCTGGTCGCTCCTCCATGACAATGACCAACCCCACAAATCGAAGATCATGCGTGATATTTTGGCCAGAAAAGGGATCACAGTCCTCGATTATCCTCCATATTCGCCAGATTTGGCTCCAGCAGATTTCTGGTTGTTCCCAAAAGTTAAGTTGGCGATGAAAGGAGACCGTCACGACACTATTCAGGACATCCAAAGGGAATGTACTGCAGTTTTAAATGCGATTCCACAAAAGGAGTACAGTGACTGTTTTCGAAAACTTTTCAATCTATTCCAGCTATGTATTGATTCAGAAGGAGACTATTTTGAATAAAAAGAGTGAAACTTTGAAAATAATTCACATCTTGTATTTTTAATGAACACAGTCCTAACAGAACCTGGACACACTGTGTATGTTTATACTGAGTGCTCTGTGCCCAGGCACAGCTGTGAAATATCCTCACAGTATAAATCCTGTATTCACAGAACGTTATATAATAAACAAAGAGCCGGACTGTATATGTAATATTCAACCGCTTTTGATACCATTTCATTATTCTTTAATTTCAGATGTTGATTTTGCAGTAATGGGTGATTCTGTTGATAATGATTCAGCCTTTTGTGATCTTGAAATGGAGCAACAAGTACTTCCCGTATTTCCCGACTCATCAAAACCGTGTGTTGAAGTATGGAATGACAAATTGGCAAGAGGAGTTTTATCGTGCACACACTTTAAGGAACACTGGCGAATCTGGGTTCCTAAAATCTATAGCCCTGAACCTAATAGAAATTGCCTTGATTGGAGCTTTGATGAGTCCAAAGCTCAGGAGGTTTTGTTTGACACTTTGGAACAGTTTATTTGTAATGGTGATCCACAAGAGGTTGTGACAAAATTGAGTCAGTTGGATAGCCCACCTTCAGTTTGTGGGCGAGTATTCAAGATGGGGGAGCCAACATACAGTTGCCGTGAATGTGGTCTGGACTCCACTTGTGTCCTTTGTGTGAACTGTTTCAAGCAGTCTGCCCATCGTTTTCATAAATATAAGATGGGTAAGTACTGTAACAGTGTACAGGTGTGAAACTTGGTCTCTGACATTAAGGGAGGAACATAGAGTGAGGGTGTTTGAGAACAGGATGTTGAGGAGAATATTTGGACCCAAGAGAGATGAAGTGACTGGAGGTTGGAGGAAACTTCATAATAAGGAGCTCCATAACTTGTACTCTTCGCCAAGTATAATTAGAATGATCAAGTCAAGGATGAGATGGGCTGGGCATGTAGCAAAAATGGGGAGATAAGAAATGCATATATGATATTGATGGGAAAGCTAGAAGGAGAGAGACCACTAGGAAGACCAAGACATAGGTGGGTGGACAGTAATAAGATGGATCTTAGATAGAATGGGGTGGTATGGACTGCATTGATCTGGCTCAGGATAGGGACCAGTGGAGGGTTCTTGTGAACTTGGTTCCATAAAATGCTGGGAGGTTCTCGAGTAGCTGCACAATTGACGGCGTCTCAAGAAGGGCTCAGCTTCATGAGTGAGTGACTATCATAATAAACTCCACCCTTCTTGAGAAGCTGATAGTCTGTCAGCATGTGAGCACTTCTGTGGAATCTGAAGGTACATTTCTGGGTTCGCAAGAGCCTTGCACTGGATATCACCATGAGGCAGGTGAATCCTGTCCACACTCTCAAATCAAATCTATGTAAGGTCAGTTTTAATGTTCTCCCTTTTATGTTCACATCTTCAAAGAGGAGTCTTCCTTTCAGGTTCTCTGACTAAAAATTCTGTGCACATTTCTTGTCTCTTCCAGGTTATGACTAGTTTCAGGGAATTATTTTGAATGTGTTTCTGTTCTTACATTGGTGTCTGAATATTATTACTTGAATGATGTGTTAAGCATTTGTTCAACTCTGAAATTTCATATTTCTGTTAATACCATGCAAATTGTATTTATATTAATGTGTTTAAGTTATTTTCATTTGCACATCTGGTAGATTTAGTAGGTTAAATGTAGATTTATATGTTGATTCTGCTGTGTGTTTTATGAGAAAGATATTTATATTGTCACGATTTAGGGGTATTGTGTGATTTATAAGACAGGTTCTGGATTGGATGATTAGATTTGTTGACACCATGTGCACATAGCTGAAGACTAGAGGCAATACAGCACTATTGCTGATCTACACACTTTATTCAGTTCACCGATACACAGACACTAGGATTCTCAGACTTCACTAGTATACTGGGATCAGATTTGTAACAGTTTCACTGTAACATCAAATCACACATGATGTCTTCGTTTCATAGCCTAATTCATTTCTTACCATTTCTTCTCGACTGCCATCTCCAGAACTCAATTCATTTCTTGACAACAACCAACTGTGCCTTTGGAACTTCTCGTTATATAGTCTTGGGGCAGGCCCCCAAGGAAAACACCATCCTCTATTGTCCCATATTTTTTTAGGTGTGTGTACTGATCCATTGCCTAGCAATAGACGTTCTCTTGTTGCGTGCGTTGGCTTCCATGGGTATGTGTTTACAGAGTTGTTGACTAGCAATGGGTTTGTATGTCGCAGTATTTACAACAAGCAGAAGTATCCCTTCTTCATCTGGTGTATGGTTACTTACCCTGTGTGTATCACAGTATACAGGAGCTAAAACTTTATAGAAGTAGTAACATCCAAATTTATAAATTAAAACATATTCATGTAAATGAAGAAATTTGGAATTTGCATTAGGATCACATGTACAATCTTTACTATATAATTTAAAAGTCACTCAATAGCCATGCATATTGAAGTATATGCAGATAATAATACAGAATACAGTTTATTATACAGGGTGGGGTGCAGAAATTTCCTTTTTTTTTGAAGGTGAATAAAGAAAAATTATTGCTGATAGACAAAATTTATGTTTAGCTAATGAAAGAATATACTTTAAAGTTTTAAATCAGGTAATTTTAAACAAAATATCTTGAAGATGGTGGCCACCATTCTCTATGCACTGATGCAACCGTTTTCTGAAGTTCCCCTCTGACATTCCAACATGTGCACCGGAATTTGGGCTACTTCCTGCTGAATAACATTCTTCAGCTGAAGCAGGTTTGTGGGGCGATGTTTAAAAACCTCTGCCTTGAGGTATCCCCATAAAAAAAAATCACAGGGCATCAGATCAGGTGAGTGCGTTGCCCACAGGATGTCACCTCAAAGTGAGATGAGCCGTCCGGGGAACTGTGCCCTCAAAACTGTCATCAAAGTTCGGGCTGTGTGGACTGTGGCACCATCCTGTTGGAACCAGACATTTCCTAGATGCATTTCTTCAAGAGCTGGTTTGAAAAAGTTTTTAATCATGTCCACATACCTCTGTGAATTGACAGTAACTGCATGATTGTCTTCTTCAAAAAAATAAGGGCCAATAATTCCAACTCTCGACAATGCACACCATACTGTCACCTTATCACTGTGAAGTGGCTTCTCATGGAGCTCTCTGGGATTGTTACCACTCCAATAGTGCATATTCTGCTTGTTGACATATCTGGATAGGTGAAAATGTGCCTCATCACTAAAGAAAACAAGTGCGTCAGGGGGTAAAGTTTCCAATAACGTTTCTCACTCCGTTATTTGGTTCTGGAAATCACGTGGTGACAATTCTTGCACAACAGCCATCTTATAGGGATGGAAATGAAGATGTTCGTGAAGAATTCGGCGCATTGAACGATTGGATATGTCTAGGGCGACTGCATGTTTTCGAGCGGAACGTCTTGGAGATCTCAAAATCGACTGTCGAACTGCTTCCACATTTTCTGGCGTTGTAATGGTCCGTTGCCATCCTGATGATTTTTTCACCACACTCCTGGTTGTCCTAAAGTTCTGCCCACAAAACAATCGATTTCCAGTTGGGAACTGAACCTCTGGGCTTAATTCAGAAGTGAGTACGGAACGCATGCTGCACCACCACGTAGGAATGGTTGTTCGAAAAATAGGCTTCGGCAGCAAACGCTCGCTGCTCACTCGTCCACCTTGTGTTTCCTACTGAGGGGTATTAGACAGAAACTTCCGTGACTGCTGCGTTCGCCGAGCCTATTCCCACTTTTCTGCGACCTCCCCTCTCTTCACAATGCGTCTTCACAAAAAGGAAGTTTCTGCACCCCACCCTGTATTTTGAGTATGTTGTATTAGTTTCATGGTAGGAAATGTGAAACTGATTAAAGTTATGTATATAGACTCATAAAGGTAAAGTTTTCCCTGTAACAGGCCGAGGAGGCCCATAGAATTGTGAGATATCAAGGCTCCCACATTTTCTAGACAGTCGGCTCGCAGATGGCAGTGAGGTTGTCAGCCTTATGTGCCAAGAGGCTGAGTTGACCCCAGGGCCATAGTGCTGCTGGTAGGATTAGGTCAATCAAAAAACCTTATCGGGATTTGAACCCATGACCTTCTAGCTTGTAGCATAGTGCCACAACCTTCTATGCTACCACATGCCCCCATATATATATACATATACATATATGAAAGAGAGTGTCCTTTTAAGCATGCAGAATGTAAGACCAACTTGTGTAATATTAATATAATTCATAATTTAGTGTGTAGGCTAAGGGCCCAACTACAAGAAATTGGAATTGGTTTTCAGAAATCCCCCTTTCTAACTATGCATATTGATGGGGCTGTTTCATGAGAGGTAAATAAGCAGCAGGGACATGTAGCTGACCACTGCTTTCTCCATCTACCATTAAGATTAATAATGCATCGAGCTGTACTTCCACCACTTCCACACATAGCTGTGTTCATGGCATAGTGCTTAATTAATTAAGCACAGGGACAACTTTACCTTGCAGCACTAATATTTGTGTATCAAACACTTTGTGCACAGGAACATCTGGTGGGGGTGGGTGCTGTGACTGTGGTGATACCGAGGCATGGCGGACAGAACCCTTCTGTGACATACATCTGGCAGGGTCAGAAACACGGCCAGACTCAACTGGAAACCGTTTGCCTGATGATCTCACCGAACGAGCCCGTGCCACATTCAGGGCTGTGCTGAAGTACGCATATCAGTTGCTAACATTGGAGCACTCTACTGGCCTCCCTTCTGATCTCCAAGTGAAGGAATGTGATGAGGATCCGCTTGGCTTCCTGGATACTCCTGACACATACTGCACTGTCCTGTTTAATGATGAAACTCACACTTTTGAACAGGTAAGAAACACAGGCCTTTCTGATGGCCATTCAGATTTGAGGCCATCACTGGCTGGCTGTGAAGATTGGTGTCTTCTGGAATGTGATGGTGTGTAGCCTGGTATGTCTTTACCAACATTTTGGATGAACATATTGTCTCCTTCTAGGTTAGGGATTCTTGTACCTTGAAGATGGAGGCAGCATGTATCTTTGAAACTCTGGTAATGATCAATCATATTGTTACATGTAGACCCATTGCTAAGTAATGACTCTAAACAGTGCCCATTGCTCAGCAACAGGTTCCTAATACACACCATTGGGCTAACTGGGAAGCGGTGTTCTCTATGTGGTCCAAGCGATAGCTGTGTGGCACAGAAATAGAAGAGCTGTTGGGAGACGTGTTTTCTGTGGGGTCCAGGCCAGTAAGGTTGTGAACATGGAAGCTGAGGAAGCTACACTGTCGAAAGCCGTTGCCAAGTGACAACTGATGAAGATACAGTAGACTCATAAGACTTAGTGTGTGCTGTACTGAATTGTAGAGTGTCTGAATTAGCAGTAGGGCTATAGTTATTTGTAGTTGCGTTTTGTAAGAGTTCAGTAGACCCAATTACCAATCCAAACCCCATCTCTGGGCACTCATACATGTGACAATATTAATATGACAGGTGGAAGCTGAAATAGTTTAACAAGACGAGACAGTCATTGGTAGGCAGCAGCTTGATAAACACGTTTCTATGGCAGTGAGTCAGCAGCACATAATAATAGAGGAACTGTTGGAAGCAGTGTTTTCTGTACGATTCGCACGGAGGCTCTGTAGCGAGAACTGATGGTAGTTGGAGATTGAGTAAGGTAGTTAGGGTCATGAGTTGCAAGTGAGCAGTGGCAGTTTGTGGTTGGCCATGAGGAATTGCCATTGTTAGGAGCCTCTACCTAGCAGTGGCTAGTGATGACAGAATAACAAACAGAAGACTGTGTGTGCTGAAGTTATAGTGATTTATAGTGTATGTAAATTAATCAGTGTGTTATAATCATTTGCATTTATGAGTATAAACATGCAGTAAATCAAATTATCAATCCAGACTCCATGTTGAGTCACGAACATGTGATAGTATTACACAGCATCATATAAGACAGTGCTGATGGCTGTCATTTTCTGTAACTATTACAGATTTAAGTATGAAGGTTTTTTGGTGGTGGTATGTAGCTTATACTACTCTGTCCAAAAAGTATCCGACCTTGGGCCAGGAAAAAAAAGTTTTGTATCTGGGTGGTTACAATACCTAATTGCCTTCAAAGTAGGCCCCTTGTGACTCCACACACTTAGCCCAGCAGTCCTTCCATTGCTGGAAACAAGTCTGGAAGGCTTCTTTTGGAATGGCGTGCAGCTGCGCCATTACGTTCTGTATGATTTCCTCGTGGCTGTTAAAACGGCAGCCTTTTAGCGGTGTCCTCAATCTTGGGAACAGCCAGAAATTACAAGGAGCCATGTCAGGAGACTTGGGAGCCTGGCGAACCTGTGGAATGCCGTGCTTGGCCAGGAAACCCTGAGTCAGGTGCAATGAATGAGCTGGAGCGTTGTCATGATGCAGCTGCCAGTTGCGTGCATCCCGCAGCTCCGGTCTCTTGCGCCGAACTGCATCACAAAGATGGCAGAGGACTTCTTGGTAGTACTCTTTACTGACAGTCTGGCCTAGTAGTGCGTACTTATAATGCACAACACCCCGGTAATCGAAAAAACAGTATCACCTTCACGTTGCTCCGAACCTGTTGTGCTGTTTTGGGCCTTGGGGATGATGGATGCTTCCATTGTGATGCCTGAACTTTGGTTTCCGGGTCATATCCATACACCCATGACTCGTCACCAGTGATCACAGTCTTCAGGAACTCAGGATCCTTGTTGGCACACTCCAGCATGTCCTGTGCGACCTCAAGCCGGAGTTGTTACTGCTCTGGAGAAAGCAGCTTGGGCACAAATTTTACCGCCACTCTTCGCATTCCCAAATCCTCAGTTAAAATTGTGTTTGCGGAATGTCTACTGATCCCAACCTCATCAGCAACTTCAAGGATGGCCAAACGACAGTCCTCCATGATCAGTGTCCACACTTTTTCAATGACATCAGCATTTTGGCTTGTTGAAAGTCTCCCGGAACGCTGCTCACTGTCTGCCGACACACGGCCATGTTTAAAGCGGTTTAACCACTCTTAATATGAGTGACCCCCATTGCATCATCACCGAAAGCCTGCTTAATTTTGTGAATTGTTTCCGCTTGGGTATCCCCAAGTTTCTGACAAAACTTAATGCAGTATCGCTGCTCAAAGTGTTCTATCATCTTGAGCAAAACGAGAATGCGATGAACACGTGTTACACCACTTTGCTATGTGGCAGCCACAGACAGATCTGGCGGTGTTGCGAGTCAGCAAAAAATCATGCATGCACATGAAAGTCCCTTCTACAGTGGAAAAAAATAAAGTCGGATACTTTCTGGACATACGGTATATGAGGGTCGTACTGAAAGTCATGAGCAACAATATTTTGTAAAGTAACATGCTTTATTATTGACAAACCAAATACAGCACCTCAATCTACAGACCTTTCTTTATTTTTCCACATAATCACCACTTCTTTGTACACATTTCTCTCAGCGTTCTGGGAGTTTGAAAATTCCCCTTCTGTAAAATTCTGTTCCAGCCATCCAAAGACACTGATGCACTGCTTTCTGAATTGCCTCCCTTGTCTCAAAAAACGTTGTCCATGCAGCTGATCCTTCACAAATCCGAAAAGATGGTAGTCGGAGGGTACCAGATCAGGGCTATAGGAGGGGTGTGGAAGAACTTCCCACCCCATCTTTGCAATTGCTTCCAGTGTGTGGTGAGCGGTGTTGGGGAGAGCGTTGTCATGCATGATGATGATGTTTCGTCCCGGACGTTTATCGTACAATGCACGACAGAGCTTGGACATAACGAGCAGCATTGATGGTTTGCCCAGGTTGCAGGAATTCGGCCAGAATAAACCCCTCTGCATCCGAGAATTCTGTGACCAACACCTTCGCAGCTGATGGCACTGTCTTTGCCTTCTTTTTTGATGGAGAATGCAGATGGTGCCATTCCATACTCTGGAATTTCGTTTCAGCCTCAAAATGATGAAACCAGCTTTCATCACCTGTCACAATACAGAGCAAAAATCATTGCCTTCATGTCGATATCTCTGCAGCAGTTCTGATGTGATGGCTTTTCGCTGACCTTTGTGGTCTTCAGTCAATAACCGCGGGACCCAACGAGCACAAACTTTCCTGTAGCCCAAGCTTTCAGTCATCTCCTGTGCTGCACTATGCCCTATTCCAAGTTTTCGGGCTATTGTGTCCACAGTCACACACCTGTCATCTTCAATGATCTCATCCACTCTTTCCTTGTTGCGTTCAGTTGAGGCTGTTCGAGGATGACTGCTCCGAGGCTCATCTTTGATGCTGGTATTCCCATCTTTAAAATGTTTCACCCATCTTCGAACACTGCTTGCACCCATGTGCAGACTTCCATAAGCACGCTGAAGTCTCTGGTGAATTTCTGCAGCAGGGATTTCCTCTTTCACAAGAAATTCGATGACAGCATGCTGGCGAAACGACATATTGTTGTCGGCCATTTTGTTAGGAGTGATACTGGTCACGTGATGCAAGCTATCGACATCACAAGACACTCAAGGTTGACACAAAAGCTGGTTCCACCTACCACCATACTCTTTCGTCTGCTGTTCCCAGGTTGCATGCAAAAAAAAGTTGCTCATGACTTTTGGTACAACCTACGTATATATGATTATGGCCTCCTGGGATGATGCAGTGGTTTTTGATTGATAGGCAACAACTTTTTGAAGGATCCTGCGGCCTGCATCTTTAGGAAAGATGACTTGATGATCGAGGCAGTGGGTTCCTCTGAACCTCTCGTACCCGTCTACCAGACAACTGGGTGTCATATCCCAGAAGATTGTAATGTTGATACTGCCATGTTGACCTCATATTACACAGCTAGGGAATCCCTTTGTTGAACTCCATTTCTAATTATTGTAGGGCTGGACAACATATTCTGAAACTTAATTTGGCATTGGGTCTTTCTCATAGTGGCGTTGACTAAGGCGATTAACTTCTGTAGAATGTGCATCTCTTCCATGGCCAGAAAAAGACTATCTCTACTATGGAGTCATAGGCTGATTGAAAGTCAATGAAAAGATGATGTGTTTCAATTTGGAATTCATTACACTTTTCAAGGACCCGGTGAATAGTGAAAATCTGATTGTTAGTTGATCTTCCTTGACGAAACCCGCATTGGTAATCCCGAATTGTAACTTCCACAAAGGGAGAGAGGGTCTGTTAAATAGAGTGTTGGAAAATATTTTATATGCTATGCACAACAGACTAATTCCTCTATAGTTAGAGCATACCATGACATTGCCTTTCATATGGATAGGGCATACAGTACTTAGGTTCCATTCCTCTGGGATTATTTCAGTTATCCATATTTTAACTATTAGCTGATGTAAATGCTTAGCATATTCTGGGCCTGCAAATTTCACTAATTCTGCCATGATGAGATCCATTCCTGGAGCTTTATTATTTTTAAATTTTTTGATAGCTTGTTTTACTTCTTTTATGGTCAGCCTCAAAATTTCCTTGATTCCAATGTATGGTCATACCTTCTGCTTGTTCGCAGGCATTGCCATTTAATAATTCCTCAAAATATTGCACCCATCTTTCCGATATTGCTTCATCGCTACTCAGTATCGTGCCTTCTTTATCTCTACATAAGGTTGTTCTAGGTTGAAAGTCCTTTTGACTTTGTTTAGTTTGTCCCCGAAGAAAAAGCCACAAAGAGACAGCCATAAGAGAATAAAAATAACCGTAGAAATGAAATGTAAAATCATAGAAAAGCGAGAACGAGGTGTGAGTGTGGCTTATCTAGCACACACATACAATCGGTCTACATCAACGATTTGCACGATTTGGAGTTGCATTGTGTTTCACAGCAAGAAGTTGTGGAGGAGAGTTTGTCAGAGGAGGAGGAGGAGGTAACAGCAAAGCAACAATCTTCTGGCGCAATAAGAGAAGTGCTGAAAGCATGGGAAACTGTTGCATCGTACATTGAGAAGCATCACCCTAAAAAGGCAGTGGCTATGCGCACTACAAATTTATTTAATGATAATGCTGTGTTGCATTTTCACCAAATTTTGAAGCATCAGCAAAAACAAATGTCTCTAGACAGCTTTCTAGTAAAAAAGAATTAGATATGTATCATAAATAATAAACTAATTATTTCGATTTTTTTTCCTGCAAATCGAATTTGCATTCCTGGTTGGTTCATTCTGCATAGAAGAAAAGATGAAGATGATTCATGCTCCTTAACAATGTATATATAATTTTCTTTGAATAAGCATTATACCTAAAATTTTTTGATTATTTTTTTGGCATGGAACACATTATCGTATTTTACATTAATTTATATGGGAAAAATTGTTTCGCTTAACGAGTGTTTCGCATTATGAGTAAGTTCTGGAACGAATTATGCTTGTTGAGCGAGGTTCCACTGTACTTTATCCTTTCCATTCTTCCTAAGACTGCACCAGCAGCATTTGTAATAACATCTCTGAGGACCCTCCAGGCTTCACTGACATCCTCATTATCAGAGAGACCTGCCAGGCATTCACTAATTAATCCAGTATATCTGGTTGCAACTCCTTGTTCCACCAGTTTTCCACAATTCAGTTTCTTAGCCTGGGATCCATCTTCCTTGCATTAGATATTTGACTTCTAATCTTTGATATTATTAAGTAATTATCAGAGTCAGTGTTGGCCCCCCTGTAGCTCCTGACATCCATCAAGTCTGAACAATGTCTTACATCTATCAGGATGTGATCGGTTTGGTTAAACACATTTCCATCAGGGGATTTCCAGGTTCATTTATGTATATCCTTGTGATTAAACACTGTACTACCTACTACCATGTTTCTTGAGGAAGCAAAATTTATAATCTCATCCCATTATTGTTTGACTTGTTATGTAGACTATGTTTTCCAATAACTGATCTATATACATCCTTATTCCCCACTTTAGTATTCATGTCCTCTATGATTATTTTACAATCCCTTTTTGGACATTCACCATACATTTCATTCAATTCATCATAAAAGGAGTCTTTCTCCTCATCACTTTTGTCTTCAGTTGGGGCATGTGCACAAATAAGACTATAGTTAAAAAACTTTCCCTTAATTTGTAGCCTACATGTTCTGTGAGATTTTGCCTGGAAGTCTAAAATAAGATGCTTCCTTTTTTTATTAACAATAAAACCTGTTCCAAACATGTGACTCTTCTTCTGACAACTATAGAGTACAACATGACCCCTCTCTTCCATGACTCATTTACCCAACCACCTCAGTTCTTGTATAGCAGTGATATCTAGTTTATAGCTATCTAGTTGTTCAAGCAGCATTTTTAGTGCTTGGGCTCTGTAAAGAGATAATACAGTGCGTACAATCAAGTGCGCGCCGCGGCTGCAATTTGCCATGAGTCATACCACCGCAGAACGGATGCAGTCGCGGGGAGGAGTTGCAACTCCTCCCCGCGACTGCATCCGTTCTGCGGTGGTATGACTCACGGCAAATTGCAGCCGCGGCGCGCACTTGATTGTACGCACTGTACATTCCAAGATCCAATTCTCAAATCCTTTAAACATTTTCCACGTTGTCTTGAATAGGTCCATCCGGCTACTCTTTCTGGATTTCTGAACAATTTAGTTTTTACGGTGTGAGGTTGTTGGCCTCACGTCCAATCCCAAACCTGGGGGCCAGGGTATCCCTCTCTCTCTGGCTCCTACCCCTTGACCTCTCTGGCATGGGTGGCCCTACCAGTAGCTATACTACCGCTGGCATAGCTCTCAAGGTCTCAGGAGCTCTCAAACCCCACCACCATGCTAAGGTAGAGATACCATTGGTGGGGCAATGTTTTATAGCAATGTACCTTTCTGACACAGGTGATCACCACATTAGCTCGGGTCATTAAATGCTCACAGAGGGATGCCATCGAGTTTGTTACCAACATTGACCGAGAAGGAAGAGCTGTTGTCAAGTGCTCCACCTTTCAGCACTGCAGTGAGCTCAAGACAGATATCGAACGTTTCACTGCTCGTCACGGAAACCGTCCACTGAAGGTACCACCTTACCTTTATGTGTCAGAACAATAAATGAGACAGGTTAAGCCTTTAATGACTGATTCATCTGCTATTTAAAAATTCAGTTCATACCTCACAGGAAACACATTACGTCTCTGCTGCAGAGCCCAACTGCTTAATGGTGTTGAGGGAAACAGTCACTGTTTGTTGTGAGAACCATATGGAACACACAGCTTGTTTACACCCTGTGTAGGGTCAAACTGTAACTGTATTGTACTAGAAAATTGTCATGTTTCACTATGTGAAGGTTTTGTTTTGTTTTATATTAATTTATTTGTTTGTATTTTATTTATTGATGGTGTCAGTATCAAAGGCTCTGTAATGCCAAATGAATAGATGAAAATTTTCACTCAAAAGCTGTTTTATGTGAGAATTACAATCTGTGAGAGATTAGATAACATAGTTTATACACAGTTTAATAACACAAAATAAATTTTATCTATTAGAACAAAGAATTGCTTTTTGAATAACCAGGCCACTTGGAGTGTTTTAATCATGCATGATTAGTCATCATGGAATTGGGATTACTTGGTCACTGTAGTGACTACACAATGGGCTGGATGACTGTAGAATCAGGGTTTATTTCCTCACAGGGGTGAGAGATTTTTTACTTCCCCTCAATGTCCGGATCAGCTCTGACATCCACTGAGCTTCCTGTCCAGTGGGTACTAAGGATTCTTCCCCATAAGTGGCTGAGGCTTGAATCACCCATAATTTAGTGCCAGGGTTAAGGATGCATTAAGTACCTCCATTCCCCACTGTGTCATTATGGCATGGTGCTTAATCAAGGAATTTTGTTGCTTTTACATGATTACTTAACAAATTGGCTCAATTGGCAGTGCTTCTGAATACTGTTCATAAGGTGCCTGGGTCGAATCTCAGCTAGGTCACTATCTTGACCAATATATTTTGTGGCTTTCCTTTACCCCTTCAGGCAAATACTGGGTTAGTCTTTAAATTAGGTTACTTCCCCCCTTCCATATCCTTTCCAATACATTATAGTGGAACATTGATTATCTGAATTGCTTATTAACGGAATGACCACAGACAAGGAATGCATCTGCTTAACAAACATCACTGTTGTACTTTTTCAAATAAAATGTTTGAAAATGTTGATTTATAATTATGTTATTAATTGTTCATGTTTCACCTGTTTTGAAAGTTGTTTAGTTTTTATTAATGTAGTACTACAGTACAAGGTCCGACAATTTAATTCCCAGAATGGCTGTAGCGTGTCACTGGGATGTTGAGTCAGGCAAACTCATGTACTCAAGCACGTTTGGACATGTTCCAACTTGCGTTTAATGAGCCACAGGCCAAATGAGTCATTTGTTCCAAAGCAGCAGAGGAAGTAGTATGTGTCCCTGATATACTGTTCGCAGAAAAATGAGTGAGAAGGATCCGGAGCAGCAGGTAAATATCAAGTTTTGTGTGAAGATTGGTAAAAGTGCTAGTGAAATGTTAGCTCTATTAACAGTGGCTTATGATGTATATGCTATGAAGTAATCGAGGGTTTTTGAATGGCATAGGCGGTTCAAGGAAAGGCGAGATGTGCAAGATGACCCAAGAAGTGGACAGCCAAAAATGCAATGGACAGATGCAAATGTGGACAGAGTACGAACAAATGGTGAATCAGCAGTGTTATTTGGAAGTGCTGATAGGGTTACGGGAATCTTTTTACAGGAAAAGACCTGAACTCTGGCCTGACAAGTGGCAATGCCACTGCGCATGATGTGTTAAGAGTTCGCAATTTCCTAGCCAAGAAATCTATTACAAAAATGGACCATCCACCTTATTCACCTGATTTAGCCCCCTGCGATTTTTTGCTCTTTCCACAATTGAAAAGATTCGCTGACATTCCTGACATACAACACAACATGATGTTACTGCCATATATTCTGCAAAACAATTGTAAAGACTGTTTTGGCAGTGGCACCATCATCTCGTGAAGTGCATAGCTTCACAAGGAGAGTATTTTGAATGTGATAGCAACCCCTAGTGCATAGGTAAGCAAATTTTGCTTTCACAGGGCCATTCTGGGAATTGAATTGTTGTACCTTGTACTTTATAATAGTATTTTTTCATGGATAAGAATGTAATCCAATTATCCAAATTCTTGATTATCCAAAACACCTTTGTCAGTGATTAATTTGGATAATCAGCATTCTCCTGTATCCACTATCATCCAGTCATTCAGTGTTATGTGGCGATAGCTACTGACACTGTCATTAAATAAACTTCAAACACACAAACAAAATAACATAGGAATGGATGGTAATGGTTTTTTAATACATGAAAGTCATTTTTTATTAATGTTAAATTGTTGAAAATCTATCAGTTTCATAAGGTCATGGATTTTTTAACTCTTTATGTATTTTTATTCAAGGTGCTGGTGGTGCATGCTCATGTAGTAGCCCATCAGTTTTATGCCATGAAACTTTTGGATTGGCTGCAAAAGATCCTTGGTTATGCAGAAGGTTTCCGGGTTGTATTCAGCGAAGTGGCTCTGCAAACGAAGTCCCCTGATGCCTCCATTGTGGAAGGAATTCTTCTCCGTGATTCTCATCTTTGGAAATCTGCGCGTACACATTGGCATCGCCTTATCATCTCGGGCATGTTGATGGAGTATGAAAGCAAGAAAGAATTTGCGAAAGTCTTTACAAAGAATTATGGTTCCGTTCTCAAGGACTTCATGAGAGATGACCATGACCACTCATTCTCAGTAGCATCTATGTCCGTTCAAGTTTTTACTGTCCCAACATTAGCTCATCATTTGATCGCAAAAGAAGAGGTACTCTTCAACCTTCTACACACATTTATTTCCGAGTGTTCTAGAAAATGCAACAAAGCTGGAAAGCTGGAATTTGAACGTAATGTTCCAAGTGGCACCTTCAAACGTGCTCAATATATACTCTATGATTTAAGATATTTGCTTAGTTCAAAACCTACAGAATGGACTGATGATCTTCGGAGGGGTTTCTTACAGGGAATATCCCTGCTTCTGAATCTTCTGACGTGTATGCAAGGAATGGATTTAGTGACGAGACAGGTGGGCCAGCATATGGAGTATGAACCTGAATGGGAATCTGCATTTAATCTTCATATCAAATTGGCCCCTGCTATCACTCTTGCTCTGGAATGGTGCGGCACTGACAGGGTTGTACTGATCAAAGCTTATCGAGCGACGCTGAAGAAGTTGTATGCAAATCCAAGTTTTGATCATACTCAAGCTGGTGAGGTACGCGAGTTGGCTGACCACAGCGCTACATGCATCCAGTATGATGTTGCATCGCAACCAGTGTCCATCCATCTGCCTTTGTCTCGTTTTCTAGCAGGTCTACATCTGCATTTGGAAAAATTTGGTCTCAGTTTTGACAGCCATGAACTACAGGTGTTTCCGAGACCAACACCAGAGCAGCTGATTGAATTGGTGCTACGAACACAAGTAAGTAGACAATGCAAAGTGATATTTAAAAACATTACTTTCACAAAACTCTTATTAGAGAAGCCTGATAAGAGAAATTCATATTGCAGTTTGTTTCCAGTATTAATACTAGTCAAAAATCAGATCTAAGATGACATTTGATATTTCCACAGTGAGAAGAGTGTACATTGTGGGCTTCTGGTTTCTGGCACTGTAAATCTTACAGGCAGTATCACTTTATATCAATCTTCAGGATAAAGGAGAGTTTGATCCTTAAGTTGGAGGCAGCAAGGTCCTCCAAAATACTGATATACAGTCAACTCTCGATTATCCGGGGGCGGATTAACCGGTTTGCGGCTTAACCGGGGCTTTTTTTTTTAAGTTTATATGTTGTTTAATATTCATTCACTTTTGTTTCACATGGTGAGTTTAACACTA